CCGTTTATTCACATTGCCGAGGGGGTTAGATCACTATTTAGTTTTTAAACTTAATCTTTAAGTATTTTTTAATCATGATTCAATTTTAACAAAAATATTACATGTTTCGAACCTTCCATTTCCCCCCTGTAGCTATTGGTGAATTGGGAATTAATTTGATTTTAGGTGCCGAAATTAGATTTCATCTCATTAAAGTAGGTAGGCGTAGGGGGTGTTATGATGTTAACAAAATGATAAGGCAGAATGTGGACTTATCTAGTAAAATATTTTACAAAGTAGTGAAAATTGGAAGTCATTAGTCCGTCGAACCAGTGCTCACAAATATTTATTTCGAACCCTCTAGCATACATGTATAAGTCCCCCCCCCCATGCACACACGTTACATGAAAAAAAAATCTAGTATACCGGTACTTGAATATGATTTATAAAAATGTGTAAGTTTTTTGAATGATGCAAATTTCTTTGTCCATTTGATCAATTTATACCCGTCCCGTAATCATTATTTATTTGATTCAGGTTTCATTAACATCTTTAATTCCTTTTCATAAGATTAAGATTATTCGCTAACTGAAGGTTCCCACTATCTTCCGTGACGAGTTACCATTCATCTCTCTCTCCGTCCTCTCTCTCTCTCTCTCCAAAAAACGATATTGGCCCAGACAAAGTTTAAAATACATGTATAGTTAAATTCCGGCTGATTTTTTTTTTACTGTTATAATACTGCTGCATATAAATTGTGTTTGGTTTTTAATTATTCTTAATTACTGATTTACTATGAACTATTTTTATTTGATTGATAATCAGACAAATTCCGCACTCCGCTGTCTCACACACACACTAACACAACTTAACAAAAAATATTTAGTACCAGTAATTTTTACAAAACTTTGGACGTAATGTACCCCTTCTCATAAATTCATTTTTGCTGAAATCTTTAAACAATTTGTGCCTTTTCCCGGTTAGTTTTTACATCAATCTTCTTTTTCATTAATCTTCCGTTTCCAACGGAAGACCTTCTACTGATTCTGTTGGTAAAGATTATTATTCTTTTTTTTTTCTTCTACTTCCTTTACGCCAACTTTGAGGCCTCATATCTCACTCATTTCTCAAAGGATTTCGCTGAAATTTTCAGACATTATAGACATTAATAAACTCTATCAGTGAGCTATTTAACATTTCAAAAATTTACTTCTGCTTTTGAGTTATTTCCCTATAAACGAAAATTTATAGACTTTCATTTCCGGATAAAGGCTCAGAAACCACAAAAGCTGGAGAAGAAATTCTACCGATTTTTGGTAACAGAAGGATTGAAGTTGTGCACATCGGTTTTTGTTTTTCGATTTTTGTATTCAAAATGGCGCTATATAGGAGTCAAAAATTAGAATGCCTAAAAGAGCGAAAATTTACACATATTTTCCTTTTTATCTTGAAAACCACAAATATTTTGTTAAGACAAGTTGAATAAAAGTTGTGCATAATTGCAAGAGCTTTCATTTGATATCATTTAAAAGGGGCTGGCCCCTAAAATTAGAGATCTACGGGCCTTGAAAGTTTTTGCTTTATAACTCAAAAACGGTAAATATTTTGATATGGTTATCGATTATAAAATATTCCTTTACATCATTTCTGTCCTTTGAAAATATTATTTTGTTCGAGTCTTGCGTATGGTAGGAAAGAAATCTAGATCCGTAAACAAGACTATGTTCTCATTTTGCTGTTGAAGGAGAACTGTTATGTGTATAATTGAAGTAAATTTGCCGTAAGTAATAAATATTTTAGAACGCTGATTATATCTTTTCTTAAAAAATAGGTTTTAAACGTGTTCTTTGGTTCCCGTTTAGAGTATTCGATGGCAACCTTTTCCTTATAATAAAGATCTTTCCAAGAGAGAGAGAGGGAGAGAGAGAGTGGTAGAAAAAAAAAACGAGTATCATTTCTTCGTTTAAATATGAACACAAACAATATTAACGAAAACAATATACGCCCGGATCTCATAAAAAAAGCTTTCAAAAGTCAAATAATACACAATTATTAACTGCGCCATTCTCACATTCACCTGGAACCAGATTCTTAGTGTGTTTACCGTTGCATGGTATATCCTTCGATTACATGCGGCCGAGAAAATCTAAAGCGACACGCCGCGGTGAACCATTGACCCGTAAGTCATAGGCAAAATAATTGATATATTTAAACCTTTTTACAACAATTAAAACAATGGTAAATTATCATTGTCGAATATTTGAGATTAATATACTATGTTGGCTTATCTTTGTTTTAAATTTGATCGTGATACATATTCATCTAAAATAGCTAAGTAGGTTTTGTGTTTGTTTACAATTACGCGATCAACCATATTCCTTCCATTGCTTCTTGACATTAATTTACACCCCATGGTCGACGTGTTAAATCTAATTTACAAACTTACGGGAAAGTATTATTTTCTTTAAGCAAATCGAATCTTTCAAAAATATCTTAAAATGTCTTAGGTTTAACTTTAGTACAGAAGGCTGTGGCATTACTTTACATGTACATTAATCAGTTTTTAATTTTTTAATATTGTTAGCTCCATGTGCATTGCATAAGGAATAGCGATCAGTGGTTACTTTATTTCAGCCAATATTGATTTAAATGCACAAGCTTTGCGCTTTTCACACACAAATAAATATGTTTTCAACACGAATTTTCTCAAACACAATTTTTTCATCACAGACTTTACCATGGCATTTACTTTTAACATTACCAATTCTAAACTTTTAAAGAGAATCTTCCGAATCATAACGATAGAATTATAGTCAATGAAATGGATTAAACATCGATAGGTAACTCGGCACGTGTAAACTTCATAAGTGTCTTGTGTGCTGCACGTTGCCTATTAATATTACAGGTTTGATAGTAAAGTTAAAAAAATAATTTAAGATTATGAAAGCAATGAATCGAACTTAATTTGTTTTATAATTTATTCAAAACCCATAAATGATTAGTATAGTGTGCTAACATTGTATAATTTTGTTCCGTGATTAAATATCGGTAGCAGATTATACAATGTACATGTAAGTAGTAATAATCTCGCATCGTATGTCCAGAATCGAAAATTTAAGAACTTACATAACAATCTGCAGCTACTGAATATCACAAACTTATCATGTAATGACACACTTTTAGAACCTAATTTAAACCGTTTAAATCATAAATCAAACCATTTGTATCATTTACCGCGTATATAACTCAGTATTTTCTTTAAAATTATGAACTTATATCTAACGCACATTACTTTTCTTGGTTTAAAAAAATACATGTATGAGAGAAAGCGAGAGAGAGGCATTTTATTCAGGTACATTCATGTATTTACCAGAGAGTCCCTGTATCAAGTACTGTCTAATTTATTCTATTAAACATAATCTCCCTTTCCTATTGAAATTAAATTTATTTGATGATTTTATTTAACTTCAAGCACAATATGTAGTACTAAAATGAAGTCCATGCACGGATGCTTTTGTACATCGGGAATTTACTTTAATCTTTTATCCTTTATGCATTCCTCCTTTAAGGAAAATTATTATGAATAAATTAATTGAACGATGTGTAAAAAACCACGTGGTTTTGTTTTGTTAACGTGTTTAAGGTCATGATTAGCAAATCACAACTTCTTCGAATGTACTACGTATACATCATGACTCCCCCATGCACCTCACCCCCTTTCCCCAAACTTTAAAATATATGAGGGAAGATGTTTTATTTGTTTTATTTAAGGTAATTCCACCCTCCTATGATGTCATAGGTTTTTGCAAAAACTGTAATTAGTTTAAATTCATACCTTATAGAAAAATATCTCTTGGAAGAATGCTTTACAATAGGTGTAATAATAAATATTGTTTAGTTAAAGAATTTTAAAAATGCATATTTTCTATATTTAATCAATTATTCAATCTTTAAAAAATGTTGACAAGGGCAATAACTCCTTCTAAGGTCTCTTCATTCAGTCATTTGCTTTACTGTAAAATATTTTATCTGATATTCACAATTCAAAAGTATCTTTTAAGTAGGAAGTGTTTAGGAACACTCAGCATCAGTGTCAGAAGTGGGATGATTAGTCTGTTCAGTCAGGAGTATTTTTGTATATTACACTTATGTTTTTTTTTCTTTAATCATTTTTGTTGTATTTTGCAGTCAAAGAGTTTGTAGATTTTTGACAGTCTCAGGGTGTGAGTACTTGGTTTATTGATGGAGCCCCAAATGGAGAAAGCTAGGTTACCGTTGCTTTGTTTCGTATGAATTGAGTTTGTATACTTAATTTATCTGTTGAGATACTAGTATACACATTTTTGAGAAAGATTTTTCACATTTCATTTTTGTTTTGAAAATCAATGTTGTTCTACTGGATTGTAGTAATATTTTTCATATTTAGTCAGTTAGTGTTAAGTTCTATTACAATGTCGACATTGAAAGAACTTGCAGAATATGGACAGAGTCTGAACTTGACTGGTGCGGACTTGCAGCAGTTTATACAACAGCAACAGGCACATCAGCGTGAGCTACGAGCGGCGGAAAGGGAGAAAGAGAAGCAGGACAGGGAGTATCATCTCAGTAGAGAAGCACTTGAAATTGAGAAACTCAAACTACAGGAAAAGAAAGGTATGGAAGAGATTGAGAGTAAATTCATGCAAACTATTCAAACCTTAGAGCAAAAGTTAGCTGTAAAGGAGTCAGAAACGAAATCAGAAAATCCTAGTAATGCAAAGTTTCCAAAAATGCCTGTATTCGATGAAGTTAAGGATGATATTGATTCTTATTTGAGACGTTTTGAAAGGTACGCTGCAGCACAGAAATGGAAGTTTGACAGTTGGGCAGTTAACTTGAGCGCACTACTCAGAGGTCGTGCACTTGATGTGTATGCACTGTTGCCGCAGGAGAAAGCGTTGGACTATGATGCTTTGAAGACGGCGTTACTAAAAAGGTTTGAAAAGACGGAGGATGGATTTCGTCAAAAGTTCCGTAAGAGCAGTTAACTCTGATCTGCCGCATCGAATCATTGTGGAGGGATGACCACATCAGCGGGTTATAAACCACGATGCTTCCTAGACATCGAGATCGATGGAAAGTCCGAAGGAAGAATTGTGTTCGAGTTATTTGCTGATGTTTGCCCCAAAACTTGTGAAAATTTCCGATCATTATGCACAGGAGAGAAAGGAGTTGGACAGAAGTCTGAGGTACCTCTGCACTACAAGGGAGCCCCGGTCCATCGTGTGGTGAAGGACTTTATGATACAATCAGGCGATTTCACCAGAGGTGATGGAACCGGGGGAGAGTCTATATATGGAGGGATGTTCCCAGATGAGAATTTTGTGTTGAAACATGACAAAGAATTCCTTCTGTCCATGGCAAATCGTGGTAAAGACACAAATGGCTCCCAATTTTTTATAACAACGAAACCTGCACCACATCTTGATAACAAGCATACAGTCTTTGGACATGTGATCTTTGGTCAAGAGGTGGTCACAAAGATAGAGAACTTAGAGACGGATGAAAAAAGTCGTCCAAAAGTGGATGTGAAAATTGCCAACTGTGGAGAATTAGTTCTTCAAGTAAAAGCCAAAGCTAAAAAGAGAAAGAAACACTCGGAGTCGGAAGCCAAGAGTTCTGGTGATTCAGATGAGTCATCTTCAGAAATGGAGAAAACGAAGAAGAAAAAGAAGAAACACAAAAAAGAATCCAAAAAGAAGAAGCACAAGAAAAGAAAAAAAGAGGAGGAAAGGGGTTCCTGATGTTATCCAATGTTAATCTATCCATGTGTGTGTTGGCAATGAACTTACCAGACCGGGATACCCACTGGGAGCCAGTTGGCGGGAGTCCGTCGTGAAACGGGTCGTGTCTGGATAGACGTGGTTTAGAGTCAACGATATTGAGGATTAATAGAGACTTTAATTTCTGTGTATTGTAAATAATAGCTGTAAAAATATGTTGTAAATATTGTTTTTATTGATTTTATTTATAGATAAAAAAAAATGTAAATAGAAAAAAAAATCTTGTTATATCTGACTGGACAGAGCACGACGGCTGTCGTGACAATCAGATTTATGCATTTTAACCAGTTTTTACATATTTTTCTCAATACTGTTTACAAAAAATGTACAATTTTTTATGTGGACATACACTTCCGTTTATTTATATTTCGCATCTTAAATAATATGGTGACCTATACATTTTTTGCAATAAATGGAAAGATTAAAGTATATTGAATGAAAATAAATGCAGTTTTTGTACTTTGAACCTATAAAATTGTGAGGGTGGAAATTCCTTAAATGGAACGAGATGATGCGAATTTTAAACATCTTCATCGGCCGATATATAATCAATCCAAATAAAAAGGTAATTAAATATTTAACTGTAAATCACAGGAAAAAAATTTTTTATAAAAAAAAGTTTCAAATAAATAGATCTATGCAGATAATCAAAAACATCTATATAATAGTTATTTTAGTTTGTCTATAGCAGATGTCAATTCTGTTCTAAGCTGAAATTAACTTAGTATAATACGTTTATAAATTGATACGAAGACTGTACAATTGTAAAGAAATATTCCGAAGTAAACATTCTTTTTCAATGGTCTGATAGTTGTACGTAACCTAAACTTTCTACACCCCTCCCGAAATAGTTCAAAGGCAAAATTCTTATTCGTTTTATTTGGGGGGGGGAGGGGTCGATTGTATGTTTTAACGTCCCTCTCGAGAATCTTTCACTCATACAGAGACGCCATCCTGCACTTGCCAGTGGAGAGCTTCAAATATTGTCTTATAGTCGACTCTTAGGGCCTTTGCACAGGGAGGGATCTTTTTCGTGCCAGCACCTCAAGCGACACGGGACCTCGTTTTATAGGTCTCATCCGAAGGACAGGTCCACACGCCCCACAGCGGGATTCGAACCCACGACGCAAGGATCAACTCCTTACTTCGCGACTATATAGAGCAGACGCTCTAATCACTCCGCTATGCGGGCGACATTTGGGGATATAAAATGAAGATGATGAAGAAAACGGTTAATAAAAATATACTGAAAGGAAAAAGAAACGCAGGGTAGCATAATGTTCGAAAAAATGTTGACCACATGACCGAAAATTACGAAAATTGGTCAGAAGAGAAATTTAGTTACTGTGCACCAAAATCAATGTTCAGAATTACTCAACCGTAAAATTTCTGACGTCACGTAGGGAAAACGCTAAAAAGCCCAAAACACGTGCAATTTGATAACAACGAGTTTGTAAACAAATCTTGTTGCATTATTTGATGCATATGAGGTATGCACAACGTTTTTCATTATTTAAAGACATTATGAATTTCTTCGATCTTGGCACAGTTTATGGAAGTTCAATGGGGTCTTGTTGTTGAATTGCCTAATTAATGAAAACGGCAACAACGGTTTACTAAGCAGTTTCTTGTAAATTTTCCCCCATAAAACTTGTCACCCATTGTCAGAGAGGGTCTGGAATGGTTTTTACTCAACCGTGACGATGACGTTTACACGAAACAGAGTCATGTTACGAGCGGGTTATTCGTCCTGCCATCTCTTAAATCGCCGCCTTACTACCACAAAAACAGCCATTTATACAGTAGACGATTATTATCATTACATTCATACGAAATTTGAAAGAAAACAATTCCGCAATTTGGTTTTTTGAGACAGTCAACTTACTGTTGTATTCCTCTCACTGGCGCATGCGCACGCCTTTTGACTAATTTTTTTGCGTGGTCACCCATGCCAAATATAGCCAGGGTTTGAAAGATAAACACTCTGATGAAATTCCATGCGACGGAGAAATAAGGCTCTGACAGATGCACGGGAGAGACATTGAAGATACTGAGAGTTTTCAATTTTCACTTTTGGGGGGTATTGTCGTTTGAGCTTCAATAACTCATGATTTATTAGCCAAAATCAAATGGGAATTTGGTTATACATTTTTGAAAGATGATTTTAAAAGTTAGATCGGAAACTTATAATATATTTTAAGAAAAACAAATTTAATTCACCTCAAAAGTTTACCCTGCGTTTCTTTTTCCTTTCAGTATAATAAGTGGTCGTTTTAAAATATTATTTTTACGAACTACTGGGCAAGAATGAGAAATCATACTTATGAAAGCTTCCTGATATGAAAAAAGACTACTTTTTTTAAAATCATGACCACAGTTTTCCCCCGCAAAGTCATTGTGTATTTTGGGGGGTAGGATGGATGGGTTGGGAATTAAATTGCCTGTTTAACTGTCCACATGTCTGTTTGTCCCTCAGAGTTTTTCCCTGAAGGCAGGGCTATACCTTATAGAAACTGGAAGCTCGATACAAAGATTTCCAATGATCCTGTTTCATTGTATTTATTCAAGGCAATATTCAAGGCAATATTACGGCAAATTCAAGGTCATGTTTTGTCACAATCATGTATATGTAATCGAGAATATCCACAAGCTCATACTTGATACAGAGATTGCTTGTGACAAAAAGGTTTTTCTACGATTTTGGCACAGAAAATAGTATCATATCAATCTGGACTATAATTGTTTAAGTTCATACTTGATACAGATTGCTTATAGTCCGCCGTTTTCAGATGTAAAATAAGGTTATTTTGACAAATTCAGGGCCAATGACAGAAAAGTTGTAAAATTCATGTCAGGGTTATGAATTTCTAGTTCAGATTGAGGGTTTGTCTTGACACAGAGCCAACATTATTCCGTTAAGGTCAAGGTCACTGACAGAAGATATATTTTCTTTCCCACGCTATGAATAAGTGAATGAAATCATTGGAGACTCTTACTTGAAACATAGATTACTTATGATTGGAGGTTGTGTCATGACACTGATCAAAGGTCTTTCTGGCAAATCAAGGTCACTGACAGAGAAAAAAATGCTTAAGCATCAATAACTTTGTAATTAAGATTCACTGGAGGCTCATGCTGAGAAGAAAGATTGTTCACATAAGAAAATGCAGTGACCTTGACCCAAGGTCGGTACTTCCTGTCCATGGCTCCAACGGAAGACCTACTCGTTGCTTTGCAACGAGCTCGGCTCTAGTTATTCTTTTTTTTTGTTTTCTTCCTAGACGCCAACTTTGAGGCCTCATATCTCACTCAATTCTCAATGGATTTTGCTCAAATTTTAAGACATTATAGACGGTAATAAACTCTATCAGAATGCTGTCGATAATTTCAAAAAGTCACTTCCGGTTTTGAGTTATTTCCCTTTAAACGAAAAATTATAGGCTTTCATTTCCAGACAAAGGCTCAGAGACCACTAGAGCTGGAGCAGAAATTTTACTGGTTTTAGATAACAGAAGGATTGAAGTTGTGCACATCGGTTTTTGTTCTTCGATTTCTCTATTCAAAATGGCGTTATACAGGGGTCAAAAAATAGAACGCCTAAAAGAGCGAAAATTTACATATATTTTCCTTTTTATCTTGAAAACTAAAAATATTTTGTTAAGACATGTTGAACAAAAGTTGTGAATAAATGCAAGGGCTTTCATATCATACTATTCAAAAGGGGCTGGCCCCTATGATTAGGGATTTAGGGAGCTTGAAAGTTTTTGCTTTATAACTCAAAAACGGTAAATATTTCGATCTGGATTATACGAACAAAATTGTTCTTTGACACCTTTTTAATCTGATGAAAATGTTTTTTGATCGATTATACCGGGGGTATTGCGTTATACGTAGAAAGCAGGCCAGGTAAACAGGTAGCTTTTTTCATTAGGAAAGGAAATCAGACCTCTTCATGTGTATAATTTACACAAACTTCCTATCAGTAATAAACCCTATGGTATTTAATTTTAATTTTCTTCTAAATAGGGCTTTATACGTGCTTTACGGTTCACTATTAAATTATTTATAACGATTAGTCTTTCTTTTTTATTTATTATTAATCAGTTTTATAGTGAACACGTCTTCATAAACGGAATATATTAAATCTATCTTTCTACATTGATTATTATAACAATTATAACTTATTTTAACTCTATGCATCGAATAATTCACGATCATTAGTTGCATACATTTGGCGATCTCCAAGATCGCCTAGATGTTTGTAACAGTTATGTAATCCAACACCCGAATCCCACGCTGTCGATCGAGGTCACTAGTGTACCAGCCACCTGTCGTAAACAATGCAAGTGTCTGTGATCGTGTTACCGTTTGAAATCCATTGTGTACAAAGACCTATCAATTTATAGAAAATCATGTTTTTAATTTATCGAATCAATAAAAATACTTCACCGATCTTTCATTTAATCTAATTCGAAACACTGGTGCATAAATCATTTTGAATTGTGATCGCTTTCTTTGGCCTGTTCACGCAAAAATTATTTCTCTATTCCGTGTTAATGTATTTTATTTAAATTGTGTAATTGAAAAGGGGCTTCGGCAAATAACTATAATTAGTGATGGAAGTCTTGTGATACGTAATGTACTATTATGTACGTTTTATTTTTACCATCACTCTTTTGTTTCTCCATTATTTTTTTTTTATAATAATCAACATTGAACGTTAAAAGAATACTTTAAAATATACTGTTATTCACGTATTTGTAATAAACAGTTTACATCCAGCTTTGTCGCTTTGTGTCTAAAATTTTGTAGTGCAGTCCTCATTTACAAGCACGTGTCCGCAGATAGCAGCGGGTATCTCGATTTGAATATCAGTTGTGTACTCCGATAGTTACAAATGGAAAATTGGGTTTGAAATCATCATGATCATGTCGACTCCTTTCATATCATTCAATTTCACTCTATTCCAGCTTGTTTTAATCAATCGTAATCGCTTGTGCATTTATTAAGGTCTTCCGCTCAGGCAGAAGACCTTCTACTGATTCTGATGGTTAAGATTATTCCTATTATTCTTTTTTTTTCCTAGACGCCAACTTTGAGACCTCGTAACTCGCTCATTTCTTAACGGATTTCGCTCAAATTTTCGGAGTTTTTAAACATTACAAAACTCAATTAGAATGTTTTCAAAAATTTCAAAAATTCCCTTCCACTTTCGAGTTATTTCCCTTTAAATGAAAATTTGGTACTGTTCGTTTCCAGACAAAGGCTCAGAAACGACAAAAGCTGGAGCAGAAATTCTACTGAATTCAAATACTAGAAGAATTGAAGTTGTGCACATCGCTTTTTAGCTCACCTGAGCTTTTCTGATCACATTTTGTCCGTCGTCCGTCCGTCCGTCTGTCCGTCCTTAAACTTTTCACATTTTCGACTTCTTCTCCAGAACCACTGGGCCAATTTTAACCAAACTTGGTACAAAGCATCCTTGGGTGAAGGGGAGTTTAAATTATTAAAATAAAGGCCCAAGTCCCCTCCAAAGGGGAGATAATCAAGAAAAGACAAAAATAGGGTGGGGTCTTGAAAAAATCTTCTCAAGAACCAGTGGGCCAGAAAAGCTGAAACTTATATGGAAGCATCCTGGTGTAGTGTAGAATCTAAATTGTTCAAATCATGGCCCCCGGGGGTTGGGCGGGGCCACAATAGGGAATCCAAGTTTTACATAGAAATATATAGGAAAAAACTTTAAAAATCTTCTTCTCAAGAACCAGTGGGCCAGAAAAGCTGAAACTTATGTGAAAGCATCCTGGGGTAGTGTAGATTCTAAATTGTTCAAATCATGGCCCCCGGGGGTTGGGCGGGGCCACAATAGGGAATCCAAGTTTTACATAGAAATATGTAGGAAAAAACTTGAAAAATCTTCTTCTCAAGAACCAATGGGCCAGAAAAGCTGAAACTTATGTGAAAGCATCCTGGGGTAGTGTAGATTCTAAATTGTTCAAATCATGGCCCCCGGGGGTTGGGCGGGGCCACAATAGGGAATCCAAGTTTTACATAGAAATATATAGGAAAAAACTTTAAAAATCTTCTTCTCAAGAACCAGTGGGCCAGAAAAGCTGAAACTTATGTGCAAGCATCCTGCGATAGTGTAGATTCTAAATTGTTCAAATCGTGACCCCCGGAGGTTGGGCGGGGCCACAATAGGGAATGAAATCTTTACATTGAAATATATAGGAAAAAACTTTAAAAATCTTCTTCTCAAGAACCACGAGGCCAGAAGAGCTGAAACTTATGTGGAAGCATCCTGCGATAGTGTAGATTCTAAATTGTTCAAATAATGACCCCCGGGGGCTGGGCGGGGCAACAATAGGGAATCCAAGTTTTACATAGAAATATATAGGAAAAATTTAAAAAATCTTTTTCTCAAGAACCATTGGGTCAGAAAAGCTGAAACTTATGTGGAAGCATCCTGGGATAGTGTAGATTCTAAATTGTACAAATTGTGACCCCCATGGGTTGGGTGGGGCCACAATAAGGAATCAAAGTTTTACATAGAAATATATAGGAAAATTCTTTAAAAATCTTCTTCTCAAGGACCAGTGGGCCAGAAAAGCTGAAACTTATGTGGAAGCATCCTGGGGTTGTGTTGATTCTAAATTGTTTAACTCGTGACCACCGGGGGTTGGGCGGGGCCACAATAAGGAATCAAAGTTTTACATAGAAATATATAGGAAAATTCTATAAAAATCTTCTTCTCAAGAACCAGTGGGCCAGAAAAGCTGAAACTTATGTGAAAGCATCCTGGGGTAGTGTAGATTCTAAATTGTTCAATTCATGACCACCGGGGGTTGGGCAGGGCCGCAATAAGGAATCAAAGTTTTACATAGAAATATATAGGAAAATTCTATAAAAATCTTCTTCTCAGGAACCAGTGGGCCAAAAAAGCTGAAACTTATGTGAAAGCATCCTGGGGTAGTGTAGATTCTAAATTGTTCAATTCATGACCCCCGGGGGTAACACGGGGCCATAATTTGGAATCACAATAGGTTATTACAAGGGGGAAATCTGATAAAGAACAGCATGGTCAAAGCTAATCAGGTTTTTTTTTAGCGATGAAAATATGGGCCTCTTTAAATCTTTCAAAAAGCCCAAAGCTTTACAAAAACCTTTCAAAAACTATTATTGCCTAATGAATTTTGTTAAAGATGTAATTGCCCCTTTATGCTTTTTTATTTTTTTTAAAAGATGCAATTTTCTAGCAGCTTATGACATGCGAACAAACAAAGCATTATTAAAGTGGGGTTTTTCTTTTGCCACAGGTCACAGTAGGCCACCATTCCACACTATGGAGGTTTTAAAGCCAGAGGAATGGTAAGGGGATAGAGTTTGGAATAACAAATAAATATTCCACGCCACACTTCTAGTTATATCAAAGTAAAAGAATAATTCAGTGATTTTTAAAAAAACGCTTCCCTCTCTTAACAATCACTCGCAGAGAAAGAAATATTGTAAGTATGTAACAAATCTTGCTAAAGCTTCTGAAAACTTACAAGTTTTTTGAGATTTGACAAAAATGAAAACCATATGTCAGGAGTTCTTTCTTTCAAGACTCTGAATTCAATTTGAAATTCGAAATCCCGGATACTCAAACACCTATCCTCGGTTATAAAGTGTCAGACACAGGAAGTGAGGCTCACAAACCAAGCCTCATCAATTAACTTAACAACACAAAAACTTCACATAACTGTCCGACGGATTCCAATTTATACCATTCTGACTTTTTATGTTTTTATTCTGCACTGAAGTATGTGCAACATCTTGAATAGATCAAGGGGTTGCTTGTAGATTCAGAATTGGTTTTTAAGAAGAAAAAAATTTCATTATTGGATTTGTATTTGGTCAAAAATAAATATTTACTGAATTTACGTCTTATTTTCAAAGCAGGGGGATGGTAGGCGTCTCAAGCTAAGAAGAACAATGTCGTCTCCCAAAGAATCAGTCCACGTACCCAATCAGAATCTCGCCTACTACTGCGACCATTATTGTCAAGTTTTACTGCTTTTTAATGGCAACACTTGAACTTTTCTTCAACCTTTGAGAATACAATCTATTCAGAACCCCAAGAGACACTATTCACTGGGTTGGACAACTGACACAGCTATACCTTAATCAGTCTCTTTTATCTTAATATCATTATATTCCAGAACGTGATTTAAAAAGTATAAAATCCTCAAAAATAAATAAATAAACTAAATCAAATAAAAAAAATATTCAAAATTGGGAAATATATGTCATTTCTTGAGTCTAAAAGAAAGTCTAAATTAAAAAAAAGCCCCTCCCCGCCTTTATACTCCAAATTATTTTAAGTGTTACTCCAAATTATATTTTAATTAAGTGATCAAATCTTAACACTGTTAATTACAAAGTTAAATGTCTATACCTATTGTCAAATGTAAATTCTTAATAGTCATCAAAACATTCTGTTTTGTGTCCTGAACCAGACCTGATAACAAGTTTCTGATAAATTTAATTATTTTTCGTTAATTCTCCAAGCTTTATCTTACCAGGGGTCTTGCAGTCAACAACATTTGGTTCCTCGTTTTTCGTTTCTGCAAAATATAATGAAAATGCACTTTATAACTTCAGCACTGTCTTTTGTTTTGTAAACAACAAGGCAGCAGCTAAACAGAGAGATTATCACGGGGATTAAATACATCTTAAAAAACCATGAACAGTGTCCGCAATAACCCCTAAAACACAACTGACTAACTCATAATAAAATAACAAATATTTCATCATATTCAAGATAAATTAAAATATCCTTGAAAAATTCAGTTGTGTTTCAGCACCCAAATATAACCCTGACCACAAATGTTTGATCTATATACATGAATCATATTTATTTTGTTGAGAGAACTAATGAAGCAGAAAATGGATTACTAGACAATCAGTTAACCAGTTCCCGCATTTCTCTTTCCTGTTCAGCGGTCATCAAATTAATTGTTACATTCCTGTAGACCTAAGTAATGCAGTGAACGTTTAAGTTCACCTGACCCCTTGACCTACAGTATTTTCTTTGGAGTAGCGTACCTACCGGTTTTCACGGTCAGTGTGTAATTTTTCCAGACCTCCCCGTGTATGTTTTGTCTGTGACAGGCGTACACCCCGCTATCCTCTACCCGGGGTTTGACTATCAGCAGGTAATTTGGTTTCACTTTTAGTCTGCAAGACAAAATATATATTTTAATTATATATCACGACTATTCATACAATATTAAAGATAACATATATGCACAGATATATAGTCAAACCTTGTTTTCTCGAACCTGATGAGACTAACGAAAATATTTGATATATCTGATAATTTGAGACATTGAGGATGAAATACTAACAGAATAAGTGGTGGGGACTTTCAAATTAGTTCAACTTATCCATGGTATTCAGGAAATCAAAGTTCAACTATCTATCTAATCATCATGATCATAATCTGTTACTTCCTTACTCTATTTGAGACACAATAACATAGTACACAGCATCAATTAGTCTAAGTGTAATTGAATTACATGTATTACACTAAAAGTACCACAGAGAGAGAGAGAGATAGAGAGAAAGAGAGAAGCAACTTTCTTTAAAAAAAAATTAAATTGATATTTTATAGGTGATTTATAATTTTTTTTGACAAACCTTCTGATATCCTTTCTGGTTATTTTTTCTCCATCCTTATACCAGGTTATAAATGGCTTCGGGTCTCCAGGGCCTTTACATCGTAGTCTTAATTTGGAACCTTCATTTACTTTAATTTTCTTTAATGGTTCATCATCCACTTTCAAAGATGGGGCCTCTGAAACAAAGTGAAATATTTCATCTTATTAAATAATCAGTTTTCCACCCAAAACATAATAATCCAGTCTTCCCCTACCCTTTCCCAATAGAAGAGCAACCTTGCAAGTTTTAATGTTTCTGGTCTTTCCGATAATTACATTAATTATTCATGGCACACATTCGCAAACTGCTAATGTTATGGATGTGGCGAACATAAGGACATTCAACTTGAATACTTGCCATGGAATTACATTTTCTGAGTTTAAAAAGATAACACACTTTCAAAATATAATTCTAATTTAAGCCACTTTTAATTAAATGATCATTCTCGGACTCCGAAATGAAGATGCACCTGGTTCGATGCATGCTGTACAACTTTCTTTCTTTTTTTATGGTGGGGCATGGAGAGATGTTTCTTTCTTTGTAGAAAACCTCAAAAATGTGGTCTTTAGTTCTAAAGCCGTACAACAGATGAGGCTGATGAGGTTTTAAACTGTGTTTCCATACCAGGCATTCCAGACTAATAAAGACTACATATCAGGCGTGCTTCCTCCCCCAAGGTCCCCCCTACCACTCTCCATCCACCGACCCCCCTCGCCATAGGAGGATTGAGCCATTATAGAGCAATCAACCTCAAGTTCTTTGTCATCCTGATCAATTCTTGTCACTCATTGGAAAAAAAGCACATTCCATCACTGTCAAGACAGAATGCACTGAGACAACATAAGCATTCCAGAGGTTACCTGAAACCTGTTTCAATTCCCAGGTAAAGCACCCGGTAGTTTACCGGACAGTCCAAAAATAAAACGGCTATCATTCTCAAATTATTTCCACTGTTATGTAGTTAATGTAAGCAAATTTCCTCCTTGTTTGTAATGCAATGACAGGATACAGGTTTTTAAAATTAAGATACATGAGATTGAAAAAGCTGATTTTAAAAGAACAGATTCTAAAAAAAAGAAATGAGGAAAAGGAGCAAATTTTACCCTCACAACAAAAAAGAAAAAGATTTGAAATCTCTAATGATCATGATGATGAAGAATGAATGCAATAAAGAAACGGTTGGCATACAAGTTAAAAAGGCTTTATATCACAAAAAATTGCGAGTTTTTAAATTAGAGGCCCAAATTAATTTCGAAAATATCCCACGGTACCATTCTTTTTAGAATAACAAACAGGCATGAAAAAAGCTGACCAGAATCTGGAAAACATCTTTTTTAGGCTCAGATAATAAGGAAAAAGTTACTAAATAATTGACTAAAGGCCTAAAAAAAATTTTTAAATAACAAAATAGGATTATTATGATATTTGTTAAAAGTCTGCTCATGTGTGGCTAGAGGATAATTTACACTAAATACAAAGTCCTATTCATTTTGGCATTACTTTTCAGCATCTAATTTCCGAGGAACAAAGTCTCCGCTACACTTATAGGAAATTTTAGGAAAGACATCATTTACCAGCTATGAAAGAGAACTTGCTAACAACACTTTGTGCCTGATAGCTATCTTTCTTTGTGAGTTGCAGCAGAAATTATTGGTCTCTCAATCTGATGCATATCAAGCCTATTAGATTCAAGGGCTGTAGAAATTCACTACTGTCTATAATTTGCCACATATTTCATTAATTATCTAATCTGCTTTTCTTTATTATACTATATTCTGTGAGAAAAATGGGGCACATATTTTTAATAGCACTATTAGAGGCAACGCCTTTTTGATAAATCAATACGTATTGATCATGTTGATGCTCTTTTTAATATAAATCTTGTTAGACTATACTAATATCTTTATTAACAAAGAAATGAAAGATTAAATTGAATACTTACTTCCAGTAGCAGGTGTCGTTGTTGCGGACAGTACAGGCTTAAAAACAAAATTCAGAGCAATGATAGATATAATAGTCACAGTCTGAATGTAGCCCATTTCTTGAAGGGATATTGTCCCATGTAATATTTCTCTTCTACATTATGTAGCACACCGAAATCCAATACCAATAATCCAATGTTTCCAACTTGTTTCTGAAAGGAAAAAAAAAGTTAACATTTTGTTAAAAAGGGTAATCAATTTTTTTATTACACCAAACTCCCATAAGTACTTTACCGGTCACGGTAGCCTAGTGGTAGAGCGTTCGTATCGTGATCGGGAGGCCCGGGTTCGATTCTCGATCGCGGCGCCGCGTCATACCTAAGACGTAAACAAAGGTAGTGACTGTTCCTTCGCCAAGCGCTCGGCACTAGAAGTGAAAGTCATCTTTCGGATATGACCTTAGGTCCCGTGTCACGGTAGGCGTTGGCACGTTAAAAACCCTCACTACTAATGGCCCTAATGCCTATTATAATGTTAAAATTAAAGCCATTCGCCGGCATTGGTGACGTCTCCATAAGGGTGAACAAATTAAATGAAAAAACAATATACAATCAATCAATCCATTAGAACTTTTGTGTTCCAAACAGTGACCCTGCATTTCCCAGGGTAATGGCCAGAATGGATTAAATATTTAACTTGTTTAACCTTATATGTAAAGACTTCCAAACTGCACAGTATGACACATATTCTATACAGTAATTCCATAAGTTATCTACCTTTGATCTGTTCCGATAACTTTATAGAAGTTTTCACCTTAGTGTGAAATTTGACATCCTGCTAGTATATCAAGATCTATAGAGTACTTATCAATTAAACCCCCCTAATAATTTGGCTAATTAGTTTTAATGGGATTGATTTATATCCCGCTTGGTAAAAAGTTACAAAGGCGGCGCAGCGAAATCGCTAGTATCATTTCAAGACGCTTATTTCAAAATTAATTTGAATTTTTTTTTAAAAACTGTGACGTAATTATTTTTAATAAATTGCAGACCCCTTACTTGGTGAATATACGGGAACTGCGTCTTCAAATCACAAGACTTTTCAAATTGACCTCCTGAACTTTAGTTTTCGGGTTAGCAGGGGGGGGGGATGTCCAGTACAAAGAATCTCTCACACAACATACGGTAGCACTCAGTTTATAATCATAGGAGTATATTGTTAAGAAATATAATACAACAGCTTATTAAAAATTTCAAATAACTAATAATGAAAAAAATTAGTTAAGAACCAAAAAATTCATCGTTAAAAACTTTTGTCACAGCTGCAACAGAATGCAATGTCCAGAAATTTGCTAAAATTTTAAAACCTTTAGAAAATTATTCAAGTGAAAAAAATATAGATGGATAAAACTGTAAAATCAATACAAGTTTCAAAATTTCCCCCTATATGCTTACTTTTTAAACTTCAACGTATCTAATGCTAAGATTTCTTTGTTTAATCTGAATTCCGAAAGACAAGTTTTCATAAAAAAAATTAAAATATTAAATCCAAATCGAAATCACCACTTTTATAAATCCATGTGAATTATATACGGGCAATGAGAAAAGTGCAAGATGTTAAAACGGCATTCCCTTTGCAGTATTTAAAATAAAATAAAATCCACACACATCTATATCTGAAGTTTGTGGGCCCTTCTCTCACATCAACACTGACTGTACTACTACCGAGATTGTTCAGCACGCTGAGCTTAGTGTGACTGTTCAGTGCGTCACGTGATCCCATTCAAAAAAATTTGGGAGAGTTGACCTGGAGTCGCGTGTACAATATAAATCTTTTTCACGTCTTACTTATTAAAATAACACTGTCAAGCAATTTCCCATGGCATAGATATTTAATTTTGATTTTCAAATAACATTGTAAAAACGGTTTCAAAGCTTTTCCCACAGTTCGTACCTGCATCATTTTTACCTGTTGACAGGTACAGTGTATATAACTTTTAATGATAAGCGGCCTTTCACATGCAAATCATGAGTTCAATGTCAAGACATTGTAATTATTATCTTTGCCGACTGAAAACATTTCATAATATTAATATTTCGTCAGAGCTTTATGCAAATGTGACAAATTCATAGAAATCTGGACATGAACTGCACTAACAAAGATTCATTTAAAGGGATAAATATAAAATGGATATGCAATAAACACATTTATTACTTTTAATTTTATATTCATTAATGAATTAAACACTGATTTTATTAATTAACTCTGATTTTATCAAAGATTTTCAGAATGGTCCTCTTCCTTCAAAACTTGTTCTTTTTGTCAAATATACATGTATCCTTGTCCAGTATCAGCTGAGGTCTTTGGTATTTATGTACAAGTAATTCTCCACAGTTGTTCAGTTGTTTTCAATATCCAGACACCCATCCTTAACAATACCGTTGTACATTCCTGTGTATAACACAGTATAACAGCTGATCCCTTTATCCTCCTGTGTGCAGTACTGTACACTCCCTCATTACACAATCACACTTACCCTGGCCACATGTTACATTTACTTGTATATTATGTGCAGGATTATCCCTCTGTACTCTAGGAATTAGAAATACGCTCAGCTTCTCTTGATGTGGAATCCTGTATTGATTTGTTTTTGTTGTCATTTGTGAAATTTTTTTGTTCATGTCTTGAGTATAACAGATTAGGAACGTATCTGGTATTTTTATTGTCAGCTGTTCTTTAATTGGGCACTAATTTGTCTGATAAACTCACTAATTTTTAACCTGTTCATATCAAATTCTGCGCATTTGGCAGCTGTACTAATTAATCCCATTACTGCATTATAGAGAGTCTGAGTTGGATGTAGTACACACTTGAGAAATTGCCTTGACCACAAAATGTTGTCATTTTCTGAACAGTTATAGTCCTTTATCCAATTACACTTGAAATGTCAAAGTCATTTTTCCGTCATACGGTTAAAAACAAACATTACGCTGAATACATGTATGACTTATTTTCATTTCAAGTTTGAGACACAAAATTTGAAAACCAGTTTTCAATTAAATGAGCACTTTTAGTGAAAGAGGATCTGAAATTTGTCTGTCAGGATACAGGTTTAGAAAAAAAACAAATGATTGCTGGGTGGGCATCGAACACTTGTAAACATCTGCAAATTAAAAATATGAAAACAGACACAACACATCTGTGTAAGCAAAAACAACATTAGACAAAATAGAGAGAGTATCTGGCTGTTTCAATTTCTCTTTCACCTATTTTTGAATATTTTCTTCACAAATAAATTTTCTATAAGTCGATCAAAGATGCATTTTTTTCAAAGATATCTGGACGTAGTTTAAGATTATTTGAAAAAACAAATAAATTGAATAATAATTTATGTTAAAATTTAAAACAGAAATCAATTTCACACCTCTGTTGCCTCTTTGAGAGCGATAACAGTAGGGACAGTAATTATCAGTAAATGTCAGAACTTGTCTATGTTTTTTCATCAGGGACAGTAAACTTGTCAGTAATTGTCTAAGTTTTTTCAGCACCGACTAAGATTGTCAGCACTTTTCTAAGTTCATCAGTACCGGCAGTAAAAAGGTCAATAATTGTCTAAGTTTTACAGTAAGGACAGCACATTGTCAGTAATTTTTTAAGTTTGTCAGTAAAAATTGGGAATGTCAGTACGTTTTCGACTTGGTAGTGTTTGTTTGTTTTGTTTTTTTTGTTTGTTTGTTTTTATTGGGAGGGGGTGTAAAATCACATGGAAAATACTGGCAATTGGTTCTACAATAAATCAATACCCAAACAACAAGATTGAATAGTTTATTATCATTCATTTGATTTACCCTTTATGAATATGAAATGTAAATGTAGATTTTGAAAAATGTATATTTGGAAGTCCTTCGAAAAAAGATTGTTAGGTATACTAAACTAAGGTTAAGTATAGTAATTTTTGTTGGGATAATTTGCTAATCTGACGACAAAAATATAGCCACTTTTCCATTAACGTATTTTGCCCCTAAAAAATTTTAACTACACTGTAGTCCTATTTGTAATGTAAACCAACGAGTACGCGTACAACGGATAGATTCAGTTGCATTTTTAAAAAGCCTATGATTTGTAATATCCATAATTACAGGTCCGGGCCTAAATTCTGGTGTGTGTCGAGGTATCTAAAAATGGACTTTTTAGTAATTTTTTGTAAGTCACACTTACATTGTTACACTATGGACTGGAAAAATATCCAACGCTATCAAAATTGTCATGTTACTTTCATAGGGAAAGGCTGTCCGTCTATTTAACTAATGAATTGAAGGAAAAAGTAAGACATATGTAATTCGTTATATTTAGTCAAAGTCCCGAGTTGTCAACTGCATATTCTCTCTGCTGTCGCCTTATTTTCTTGGACATATTTCTTTACTACACATTTCAACACTAAATATATTTAGAGCATTTCGTCATATATATAGTATCAGCCATTTTCGAATTTAAACAAGGCTAAAAGAGATTAAGTGAATACAAAGTATTAGACAAACAAGATGCATTTAAAGGAGTTTACCAATAGCTGAATAACTTTATCTTAAAATAAGGTTTATTTTCAAATAAAGCAAGTTATGTTAAAATAGCTGAATAATTTTATCTTAAAGGATGGCATGGAAATAGCTGCGATCAGGACATTAATGAATGTGCTACTAAACTGTTTTGTGGACACGGTACCTGTACAAATACACCTGGTAGTTTCCATTGTAGCTGTCCTTCCTCTGTTTACGGTCTCAAATGTCAGCTTGATGAGGATGAATGTCTTCTAGAACCGTGTAATGGAGGAGAGTGTGTCAACAAGATCGGGACTTACTCGTGTCAGTGTAGAAAAGGCACAACTGGTAGAAACTGTGAATCGTTGATTGCTCACCAATGTCACAGTGATACATGTAACAATCACGGACAATGCCATGTAGCGCATAGTAAGGTCGTGTGTACATGTAATAATGGTTATACCGGTCCGGACTGTTTCATAACGAACTTCTGTGCTAACAACCAGTGCCAGAATGGTGCTACATGTGTGAATACTGGAGCTAACTACACGTGTCATTGTGCCAAAGGCTTCATGGGAGAACTGTGTGATAACATTAATTATTGTGCGATAGATCCGTGCAAAAATTCTGGACATTGTATAAATACCGCGTCTGGATATAATTGTTCATGCACTGATCATTTTATGGGACAAAACTGTAGCACGTACGATTACTGTTTTGGACAGAACTGTAATAATCGTGGACACTGTCAAAACATACCGAACGGTTATTTATGTCAATGTAGGTCGCAGTATCTTGGGAAGAATTGTGAGCTGAAAAATCATTGTAATAACAATCTATGTCAACATGGAAATTGTTCAAATTCAAACTCTGGCTATACTTGTTTTTGCACCAAAGGATTTACCGGAACAAACTGTGACAAAATTAATTACTGTAACGGTAAGAACTGTAATGCACATGGACAATGTCAGAACGGGCAACATAATTACACCTGTAACTGTAGTCCTGGTTTTCTAGGTAATAACTGTGAATACGACCATTGCTTCAATAATACCTGTAAAAATGGTGCAACTTGTCGTATTGGAAGTTCTAATTATACATGTTCGTGTAAACCTGGTTATAAAGGACCTCATTGTGAAACACGTGATCACTGTCACGGACAGAGATGTAGCGGTCATGGAACCTGTCATAATGGACATAGTAGATACACCTGTATCTGCAAACCAGATTATAGAGGAAATGATTGTGAATTGAAAAAGTACTGTCATAGTAATCCATGCAGACATGGAAATTGTACCAATACAAACACTGGGTATATTTGTTCTTGTAATGGAGGGTATCTTGGAACGAACTGTGATTTAATAGATTACTGCCGTAATAAGCACTGTTCTAATCATGGTACCTGTCACATCACAGGAAATTCTTATACTTGCACTTGTCATGGTGAGTATATTGGAAAAGACTGTCAGACACGGAATAATTGCTATAACAAACATTGTTCTAACCATGGAACTTGTCATAATGGATATAATTCCTACACGTGTCAATGTAAAGCTGGATACCTAGGAAAAGACTGTGACCACACTTACTGTTCTCATCGTCAATGTCGGAATGGAGCCTCTTGTGTTAATGGAGACTCTAACTATACATGTAAATGTGCACCAGGATATATAGGATCGTACTGTCAAACACGTGATTACTGTAACCATCAGAACTGTGGTGGCCATGGAACCTGTCAGAACGGTCAAAATAAATATGCTTGTACTTGTAATCCTGGTTATTTAGGCAGAAACTGTGAACATGATTATTGCTTTAGTAGCCCCTGTAGGAATCGGGGTACCTGTTAAAGTGGAGCCTCAAATTATTCCTGCTCATGTCTTGGTGATTTTATGGGACGCCATTGTGAAGTACGTAATTTTTGCCATGGACATACCTGCAATGGACATGGGACTTGCCAAAATGTAAAGCAGGGTTACATTTGTCAATGTAAGTCGGAATACCTCGGGAATAACTGTGAACGGAATAACTATTGTCATAGTAATCCCTGTAAACAAGGTAACTGTTCCAATACAAACAGTGGTTATAATTGTTCTTGCAGAAGTGGATTTACCGGAACAGACTGTGACAAAATTGATTACTGTAACGGTAAGAACTGTAATGCACACGGACAATGTCAGAACGGGCAACATAATTACACCTGTAACTGTAGTCCTGGTTTCCTAGGTAATAACTGTGAATACGACCATTGCTTCAATAATACCTGTAAAAATGGTGCAACTTGTCGTATTGGAAGTTCTAATTATACATGTTCGTGTAAACCTGGTTATAAAGGACCTCATTGTGAAACACGTGATCACTGTCACGGACAGAGATGTAGCGGTCATGGAACCTGTCATAATGGACATAGTGGATATACTTGCACCTGCCAACCAGATTATCGAGGAAATAATTGTGAACTGAAAAAATACTGCAATAGTAATCCATGCAGACATGGACGTTGCAACGACAAAAACACAGGATATAATTGTTCTTGTTATGGAGGGTATCTTGGAACGAAATGTGATTTAATAGACTACTGTTATAATAAGCAGTGCTCAAAACATGGTACCTGTCACATAACAGGGAATTCTTACTCTTGTACCTGTAATGATGGATTTATGGGAAAAGACTGTGAAACCCGGAATTATTGTTATAACCAACATTGTTCTAACCATGGAGCTTGTCAAAACAAGCATAGTTCTTACACGTGTCAATGTAAAGCTGGATACCTAGGAAAAGACTGTGAACAAACTTACTGTTCTCATCATCAATGTCGGAATGGAGCCTCTTGTGTTAATGGAGACTCTAACTATACATGTAAATGTACTCCAGGTTTTAAGAATACATACTGTCAAGAGACGTACTGTTCTCAAAATAAATGTCGGAATGGAGCCTCTTGTGTTAATGGTAACCGTAACTATACGTGTAAATGTGCTCCAAATTTTAAGGATACATACTGTCAGACGCGTGATTACTGTTACCATCAGAACTGTAATACAGGTAAATGTGTCAATGCTAACGGAAGTTATACGTGTGACTGTGCGAATGGAACAACTGGTAGGAACTGTGAATCACTGGTTGCAAACCGGTGTCACAATGGCACGTGTAATAGTCATGGACAGTGTCGTGTTTATCAAGAAAGGGCAGTGTGTACATGTGACAATGGCTATACTGGCCCTGATTGTTCCATTATTAATTCCTGTACTCACAACCAATGTCAAAATGGTGCCAAATGTGTGATAACTGGAGCTAATTACACATGTAACTGTGCCAAAGGCTACTTAGGAGAGTTTTGTGAGATTGTTGATTATTGTGCAACGACTCCTTGCAAAAACTCTGGATCATGTATTAATACCTATTCTGGATATAACTGTTCATGTCCTGACCATTTCACGGGACAGAACTGTAGCATTCCTGATTACTGTTTTGGGCAGAATTGTAATAACCGAGGGAATTGTGTGAACAAGATCGGGGGGTACCAATGTCAGTGTGGGAATGGAACAACTAGTAAAAACTGTGAAACATTGACTGTAGATAAGTGCCAGGGACATGTATGTCTAAATAACGGACAATGTCATGTTAAGGAAGGCGAGGCCGTTTGTATTTGCAACAATGGATATAGCGGTCTTAACTGTTCCAAAGAACGCTCGTGTGATTCAAATCAATGTCAGAATTCTGCTATATGTTTAACAACTGAAAGAGCTTTCTTCCACTACGCATTCTTTTTTATATTGCTTTCAGTTTTGCTTAAATCATAATTATGATGGCCTCTACAGACATTTAGTAAACTTTGTATATATATATCGGACCATAAAAAGATGCATACCATGTAATCAAAGACGTTTATTGTTCAATTTACGATCAGGGTTTTTGTAAGATATTAGATACAATTTTTTATATATAAATGCAGAAATGTATCTTTTTTTAATATGGTACATATACGTGGTGCATACAATTAGATATTCCTAACAACGGGGGCTTGTAACTTTAATGCAAACATTTTAGTTTAATCGATCATTTCATTTTGTTAGAACTCTAGAAAAGCTCTACCATCATAATATGAAAACCCAAAAGTATCAATTGGGTTAAAAGAAGAAAACACTTGCTTTGGTCTTCAACTACACATTTAGATATATCGACGACGTATTGTCAATTAACAATTGTAATTTCCATTCTTATGTCGATACGATATATCCCGATGAGCTTGAGATAAGACATACCAAAAAGTCTGACAAATCTGTTTCATATTTGGATATTGTGCTTGAAAAAGACGTTAGTGGTAATTTAAACACCAAGCTTTATGATAAACGTGATGACTTTAACTTTACAATCGGCAACTTCCCTTATTTACTTATGCAGCAATATACCTTCACCTGCATACGGGGTTTATATTTCTCAGTTGATTCGATACACAAGATATGCTCTACGTATGAACAATTTCTAAAACGAGTTAAACTATTGACAACCAAGTTGATGAAAAAAGATAATTAGCGGTATCATTTAAAGTTATCATTTTGTAAGTAAAATGGTCGATACAATTACCTTGTCATCAAATAAATTTATCATTGAGTCAATTGCTGAATGACGGGACTTCTCCATTATTTCCCGACCTTGGCAGGGAGCACACGGCGGGGGGAATAAGCAAGATGCATTGATGAAACACTGATTCCACTGTATGGCCAAGTCAAAAGGTAAGAAAAAAGTATCAAAAGGAATGTCTTTCACAAGAAATACACCTGTGAAGTATGAAAGCCATAGTGCCTACTAAATTTTACAAATTATGACCAGGAAAATGCTTTTGAAAAGTCTTTCAAAGTTTTTTCATACTCTTAGGTCAATGTCAAATGGTCAAAAATAGTTATACCTATAAAAAGGCCTTGTCACAATAAATACTCATGTGAAGTATATTTGCCCTAGCACCAACTGTTCAAAATTTTTCTTTAGTATTTTTTTGTCAAGCTCAAAATACCGAAGTCAAGCGCTCAAAGTTGATGGTACCCTCAAAATATGAACGGAAACTGAATATAGACCGTCGGACGGACTTATCGACAGACGGACAGCAGCAAAGAAATATGAACTCCTTTCTTCGAATGTTGTATATCCAAATTGTATGAGGTTATTTTAACTTTTCCATCGTCGGCTTTCCTTACCTATGCAGCAACATTCCACTCTCTTCCCAATATGGCGTATACATACCCAAACTGACTCGAAACAAGAATGTGCTCATAGTACATTCAGGTTTTATAACTGTGAAAGGCTACTGACAGACAAGTTGCTGTTACAGGGATTTCAACGACCTCGTTTACAGTCAGCATATCGTAAATTATAATGACCATTTAGCAAATATAACCATTACTTTGGGTCATATAGTTCGGTTCACTTGTTTCATACCAATTGCTAGGCCTTTGTTTTAAGATTAAAATTTGACTAAGGAAAGATCCGTTTACATGAACCATACATATGGTATGAAGCAGATGTGACCGGTCGATACTTAAAAAATCATGCTATATTCCACAAAGTACGGGATATCTAATAAATATTTAAAACTTTTCATTTCAGAAAATAAATTTCATAAACACGGAATGATTAGTTTAAACACTGTCCTATATCTGTAATTCTTTTTTAATTTTATTTCATAGGGACAGTTCAAAATAATCATTTGAACTTATCATTTACTTAGATTAAATTGCCTATCAATAATCCAATTTAATCATTATAAACAGTAATAATAATTACAGTGTCCCTACCCAATAGAAACCCTTGACCATGGGGCCACACATTTTAACATGTAGAAACAAACACCCTTCTTCAACATAAATGTTCGATTAATTTCAAGGAGCAGAATTCAAAGCATTCATTTATTTTTAGAATATAATCATTACAGCCCCTCCACTCGGTACCCCTGACCAAGGGGCTTTGAAATTCAGAATTCTGGAAGAAGGATTCTTGATTCTTGATTTTGTTAACTATATACTTTTATTACCAGTATAATACACAGGGGCAGACGAGAAGATTTTCAAAAAATTAACGTATTTTCACTATATAATCATTTGCACACCGCCCTAACACCAGAACCTCTGACCCAGGGTCATGAAATTTAAAATTTTGAAGAGGTATTCGTCCTCGTCATAACTTTTTACATAGTTTATTGGTTTAATACTCAGTCTGCACCAGAAAGAAGATTTTTAAAGAAATAATACATTTTCATTATGTATTAAACAGAGCTCCGGCGTACTAGCACTATAACACAGGCACCTGACGTTACTTATTTTGATTAGTAACAAATAGTATACCCTTCCTTTATTATTAGGTAGGGGGTATATTTTTTTTAATCAAAAGATAAATCAGAACCACTGAGGGCAATGATTTTCACAACTTTGTTAGATAACTCAACGCTTATTACAATCATGCCAAGTAGATTGCATTAATCTTAATGGTTTTAGTCCCATCCCTTAGGCCTCAGGGGGATAGGGACCGTGAAAATCACAATTTGTGTTTCCCTTTACCCATAGATTTTATATGCCAAAATTGATTCAATGGTTTTTAGAGAAGAAGTAGTGAAAATGTTAAAAAAAAATAACAAACGACGGATGAAACGCGAAGCGCAACGACGGACGAAAACAGATAGCGATAGGTTACCTGGGTGACTTAAAATTAATATATTTCGTCCACTTTCAATTTAATGAAAGCAAATCGCAATATTCAATTGAATATTTAAAAATGTGATCATTACAGTTCCTTAGACCAGACTTTTTTTTCTCTACATTTTTCAATATCAACTTGTACATCAGTAATACAATTTTACTAAACCAAAGGAAAATTTATCAATATTGAGATATACTAAGCAAGTATTAGCTAGAATTGTTTACGGTTTACAATATTTTAAACTAGCTACATATCTTTTTATATCCTTAATTTGATGCAGAACTGCCATTTTTGTGACAATGTATTTCTACTCATTCATAAGAATTTTGTAAATATTCCAAATAACGATTACATTTTTGAACATGGATTTTAATGTTGTATCAGGAAAGATAACGTTCTTCATCCACATAGATGAAGTTAAGAGTCCTGGTAATAAACCTCACGGAGGAGAGTGTTGTCAGGGGGTGGTTGGTACTAAATGTACCAAGTTATGTAAACCTGTACTCACCGTATGTCTCAAGTAAGTGAAGTTTTGCTTTAAATTTTAGAATTAAATAACAGTAAATGTATATTCTACAAGTAAAGGATTCTCTCTCTCTCTCTCTCTCTCTCTCTCTCTCTCTCTCTCTCTCTCTCTCTCTCTCTCTCTATATATATATATATATATATATATATATATATATATATATATATATATATATATATATATATATAAAGCACTAAAAAACCAACAACACTGTATATCCTAAATGTCGGATCTACCAAGTAGATACAAGGTCACGGATGGAAATTTATATAAAGCACTAAAAATGACCAACGACACGAACAATAAAAATTGTCAAATTTTCGGGACGCCCTGTCCCTTCCTCAGGACAAAGAAAAAAAGTTAAAAAGTCATAAGAACAAAGGAAAAAGAGAAACAAAAACAACTAGCACTACTACTAAACTACTAAACACTAGATATTTACATACTTAATTACATGTTGAATTGGAAATTTTTAAGAACACTAACAAAGAAAGAAATCCGGACCGCTATGAAATGCGTCCGGTCTATCGGGTATACTCGGGTGAAGTGCGATTTACATAATTGAACGAATTAATTATGCTAATTAATTACGGCAATCAGTAAATCGTACATTGTTTCATTCTCTCAAAATGGCGTAACTTTACTTAATAAAGAATAATGAAAGAAAAATCATATAGTAGGGATATTTAAACATATGAATTATGATCAATTACAAATTTTGAAATATTTAAGGACTTATTACCGGGAAAAAATAATTAACAAAGGCCTAAGCAATACATAGTTATGTGGGTTGTTCGAGAGTTGGTGACGCAAATTAACTGTAGAGTTTACACTAAATTGAGAGAATAATCTTGTTTAGTATGATCAGGGTCGAGTTTACGTTCATTCTGGTGAAGTCATTCAATTTGTTAATACATGTACCATTAGGGCGGAATGACTTCAATCTGTGCATCCAGAACTTTTCTTTGCTTTTCCTCTGAGCATCTGTCCATCTTGGGTTGTGGTCAATCACCACTACTGTCATGTCCTCCCATTTGTGACCCTCAAGGTTGAAATGTTCCCCAACGGGTTCATTGAGTTTTTTGGTCCTAATGGTCGAACGGTGGTTATTGACTCTCCTGCGGAGATCTCCTGTTTAACCAATATACTGTTTGGAGCAAACTCTGCAACTGATGAGATAAATGCAGTTGTCAGTATGACAGGACAAATTTCCTAGTATTTTGTAGCTACGGCCTGTAACAGGGCTGTTAAAACTGTCTGTGTCAGTGCTGTGCTTACAAAGAAGACATCTCCTGTCAGAGCAAGTTTTAAAGCCCCCGTTAGGTAATGGGTTGTCCAGTCTGGTTCTTACTACCTTAAATCTTATCGACTGTAGACCAG